GAATCGAATCGAATCCAATGAAAGCCTGTCTGTCTGTCCATGCCACCTGTTGTGGACGCCACACCTCACCCTTTTCAGCAACTGGCACTGACAAGTGTGCCCCAAAGAACTTATCATATTCGCAGGTCCCGGCCAGCCCCCAAACCCGCCAAGCGCTCCACCTTATCAGACAATTTATTTAGTTCGTTTTCCAGTTAATGTCGTTGTCGGTGTGTCTGTCGGTTGTGCATTTTGATGTCGCCATCAAAATTGTGAGTGTTTGCCAACCAAAATAATTATGAATCAGCTGAATATTTCGAATAATAACTCTCATACACCGACACAAGCGCGCGTACACATACACACACACACACACACTAGTGAAACGTGTAACGAAACGGAAACGTACGAAATGCGCAAAAAGAATAATCGCCGGTGTTCGCAAATGCCATGCCCCTACCCGCTCCAGCCTCTACCTAACCAAACCCCACCACAAAATTTACCGAAATCTGTTTGGTTGCAATTTTGTATCGTAATCAAATATTTGTACAGTAAAAATACATTTAGTACATACATATATTTAAAGTAAAAACTTGACTGGCGTTTTTACTTAGGAACTGCATTAGGATTAGTAGAAATATCTCTCTCTCTCTGTCTCTTATTTGCTCTTGTGTGGTACACGAGCACCTGCACCTACTTCGTATTGTCGCAACGATCTATGAGCAGTAGTAGAATTATGTACTCCAATTTGAATCATTCGAAAAACACTTGGACTTGACTCACAGAAAATGTAAGAACAAAAAAAAAATACACATTCATCGATTCAAACTGCAATTGTTTTTCAATGGAAATGGGCTTCGAAACAGAAGGAAAACTTCACGAGTTTTAGAATCGATTGGCATTACGTTAAAAAATCTTTCTTCATTTAAAGCGGTCCAAAATGGTGAGCAAACACATGATTTCGACTCTTTTTGGCCTGCAATAGTACTCTGAGGTACTCGGTAAGGGGGCATTTCTAAATAGAGCAGGGGGGAGGAAAAGGAGGACTTACCGTCTGGAATATGTCGCCGCATTCAAAGTATGGCGATTTCTGCACTATTGTGGCAGACATTTTGTTGTTGTCTGCGCTGCTGCGTCTCCTGTTATTTCTCCTTTTTTCTTTTTTCTATAGTTTTTATTTTTTTAGTTGTTGTTTTTCTCCCTGCCTTTTGTTGAATTTGATTTGTTGTTTTCGGGCTTGATAATTCGTTTCCACTGGACAAGACGACAGATATCTTTTCTTTTCTTTTGATTGTTACTGTTGTCTTGGGGAGGGGTAGACAATTTGGTTTGTTTTTTTTTCGTTTATTTTTTGCACTTGAACTATTTTTTGATTGTTGCGCTATCTATTTATCGCGTATTGCATTTCACACACAAAAAAAAGGCAGCTGAAAAGAGGGAGAAGGTGAAGATACGATGGTTAGGAGAGGAATGAAAAGGGATTCGATGATGGAACGCCGTTACACGTGCGAACGGAACGGTTTGGTTCACAAAGTGCTCATGCGCCTGTGTGTTGTGTCTGTCTCGCTCGCCCGCTCGCGCGGCAATTGGGACTCTATGTGTGTTCGTGTGCGTGTGTGTGTCCTTACGCACATGTGCAAGTCACTTAACGAAGAAGAGGTAGATGTAGAAGCAGAAGAACAGAATCATCAGAGAAGGAGAACAGAAGCACAGGCAGATCAGAATGAGGAGCCATAAGGAAGAGAACCACACAGCAGAGCCAGTGCAAACTGACGTTTCTTGCCTTTGCCTTTGCTTTGTTCCTTTTATTCTTTTCCCAAAAACAGCAACAGCCGATTGGGTCCCTGTCCATCCAGCCGTCCGTCCGTCCGTCTGTTCTGTGTTGTCCACGTGTGTGTGTGTGTGTGTTGTTTGCTTTGCTTTTATCGTCTTCGTTCTCAAAGCAAGCAAGAGATAAGCTCCCTTCGTCCGACCGACCCCTCCTCTTCTACACAGCACCGTACCGTACGTAGTGTCAGAGCGCAAGTGTGACTCGGAGCTCAATGTGTGTGTCAGAGTGTGTTGGTGCTGTGAATGCGAGAGATCTCCACTGGTGGTTGTTTTAGCTCGTATCACATGTCTGTGTCTCCGTGTCCTCAGTGTGTGTATGTTGGTAAATTTTTATTTTATTGCTGCGCAAGCAGGCAAGGCAACGCCAACTGCGGCGTCGACTGCGAATGCGACGGCGACGGCGACGGCGTTACCGACTGCCTGTGGGCGACTTTGTTTTGGGATTCTCTTTCTCTCTCTTTGATCCTCTTCGAATCTTGTCTGTGTCCGATTAGGCATTTTTACAGTACTAATACTACACTACTTTGCTTGCATCCTTATTCTGTGCTTCCAATTCTTCCCGTCTGAACTTTGATTTCATCCTGTTTCTGTTCGCTTCCAGGCATCCTGCTCTTGCATCTTTCACTCCCACACACTGATTCAGCACCTACCGTTGCAGTCACACCATGCACACCACACAATGCAAAAAAATCGAACAAAAAACAATAGTATTTGCACTGCTTTTTTTAACAACCAAATGGCCCGCGCTCACTTTTGAACGAGTAACAAAAAAAACGTGGAAATGCAAAAAAATGCACACTCTACAGGCTGACTCACACACACACACACATACACACATAGGAACATGCACGTTGGTTGGATTTGCCAAAAATTACTTTGATTGCGGAGCCGAGAAAGATCCTGGCGGTGGCACACTACTTTGCACTTTGTGTTTCCGGCAAAACAACAGGAGATACAAGCACAAGCACGTCCGTTGGCAACGACAGTTTTTTAAATTTTGAATGTACCCCGCTGTTCAAAGCAGCAACCGCTCGGGTCAAGATAACATTGTGAGTGTGACCGCGCACCCATTGATAAAATATACCGCCTGACACTCAGAAATATACCAAAATATACCGTCTCGTTTTCAAAATATACAGTAAATATACTGACGAATTCAAGGTCCATCATACATATTCCTCGTTTTTTATATTCCGTCGAATAGTACTAGCTAGATTGAATCCTCAGCCCTGTCCATATAATTTAATCGGATTAATGAATCGATTTACTACTTGACTTACTTTTTAAATAACTTACTTGTATTTCTGCTATGGTGATTGCTTTGATTGTTTTTGGCCCAATTTTGGTGCGTCAATAACAATAAAGCGTCTCGTATGATGAAAGAAAGAACTAAGCCTACTTAAGCCCCCTCTATTTAAATAGTTCAACTACTTGAGGTAAAGGGTGGAAAATATTAACGATTGTTAATTCTTCTTGTAGATTCATTCCATCTTTCCTCTGAACTTAAAAAAAAACACGATATCTTTATTATTAATTATTAAATTTTCATTATGTTCGGTGGACTATTAAAATACCCCCTTGGCTTACAATGGGCTAATCGTTCTCCGCCAAAGATTGCAAATAACTAGATAGATCTTTTAGCTTTGCCCACATAATTTAATCCAATTAATAAACTTATTTTCTACTTGACTGGCTATTATATAAATACTTGCTTTTATTGGACTTTGACTAAAAAAAGGTTTTAGCGAAAACGGTAAAAAAAAAGGAAAAAGTATAGTTGTTCCTATTGTTAAATTTTGATATTCCGTCGAATAAATTTACTACGAGATTAATTACGTTTAAGTACTCCCATTTATTGTACTTTGGCTAAAACAAGGTTTAAACAAAAATGCTCAGCAAAAAAACAGTTGCAATTTTGTCGCGTCAATGTTGCCGGTATTTGAAGACTGTTGCTTGTCAACCGGAGTATGGCTATTGGTATACCCTGTTTCGTTAATTTAATATATAAAGATACTATTTTCCAAACTGCTTTAAAACGTAATTAATTGATTAGTTTCTTGTATACATCCTGATCCCGATACAAATTCTTGGTCTCGTTAAGACGTTTAACTTAAAAAAATCGTTGAAATACCATTTAAACACAGACTGAATAGTTTTTGCATTCATTAAGCCTGGGATGACAAACATTTCTGCAATTATATACTATCCTTTTCCCCTGTATGCCGAATGTTGCGCATCCCGCTTCAGCAACTTTTTTGCATGATGATGTTGCAAAATTTCTTTTGACCAATGAAAATCGTAAAAAATGCATTGCAAAACTTGTTGCTGCAGCATTTTTGACGATTTCATTGGCCGAAAGCAAAATCACGCCATTCCCGTTTTAACCGGTTCGTAATGTGGCGGTATATTTAAACCCGACACATGAGAAACTAAGTTTATATGGATACATTATATGTGGTGTATATCAAATACTTATTAAAATTAACTTATCAATACCAATTTTAATACTAGTCCCTGGGCTCCGTTAAAGTGACCAACATGGCTGCTGTTGGCCTGCTGAATGCACGATGGCAGGAAACGGCCGCGATAGAATGTCCGGCTGTGTCGTGTTAATATTCTCCAATAATTGCGGCAGCTTTCTCCAGCTTTTGGCTATTAAAGTGGCTCAGCCTGATACCATTCAGGGCCAATTTTCTCCGAATATCACCGAATCGCTCCAGCCCCTAAACAAGAACTGTATATTTCCCTGTTCACCTTTTCAATAGTTGGGAAATGCAGTTCCAATCATCACCATATGGATCCAAGTACAGTTACTAAAGTACGGAGCTCGTTGTTGCCTACCGGTTCAAAGAGAGCCCTTAACCGATTAAGAGAGAGCGAAAAAGAGCCGAGTGGTGAGCAGTGTTGGTAAGCGCCGCACAGAAACTATAAGCACTGTAATTTGTAAAAATTGTATTTATTAATCCATTTAATTAATTAATTCAGAAAATAAATCATAAATATTCCTTGAGGGGGCAATCGAAATCAACCGACTATTGATAACGATTAAGGCACTGAATACGACATGGCGCGGGCTTTTTGAAAAAATGTATGTTTATGTTTGAGCTTATATTTTATTTGCAGTTGCAATTGCTTTTGCCTTAATGGTATGTGCATGATGTATTCCATTCTCAATTTAAACCTATAGAAAATTAGTTTTGTACGAATTAGTATGTATTTCTTTCGTAAATATAAAATGAAAATATAAATATAAAAAGAAAGGAAATAAAAATGTTCATATTTGTATGTATGCAGATTCACAAATTAAGAACAATAAAACAGAAAAGAGGCCAAAATAACAGTTAATAAATATGTCCCAAGGATGTCCCAAGTAATCCGCGAGTAGTAGAATGCAGTGGCATTGAGAACCAAAAAGGAATGACTTCTTTTCTCTATATACATTCTATAGGGGCTGTCTTCGTATGCATATCCTTCCATGCTTCCATCTGTAAATGTAATCGTTAATTAATAGTCGAACAAGTTTTCATTTTACCTGTGTGAATTGTATGCAAACTGCGGCACTGCACTGTAATCTTTATTTGTGGATAGGTCCGAAAATTTCAGTGGTACCGAGTCCTTGTACTATGATAGTATCCAAAATAGATGGAATCCCAGGCAACGGCAGGTCGGTCGTGAATGGCTTCAGAATAGAATCCTTTATTCTGTTTTCCGATGAAAATGTATTTGCTGGTCTTCCTGTTAAAGAAGAGCTCCACTCCCCCTCCCTGCATATAATATCATAATACTCGATGGGTCATAGCTAGAAACGGGTTCAAAATGTCGTTAAATTATAGGATCGGTCGAAACCATTCCATTCCATTCCTTCGACAATTAGATCTCAAAACAATAGCTACTACCCTCACTCAAAGTGGTATGCATTTTCAACATAACAACATCCTATAACATTTTTGATTCTTAGCGCGAATCGTAATGTTTTCTTTTGAGTTTTGAATGACAATTACGGGATGCCTTTGGATGCCTCATTTATGGATTGATAGATAATCTTTATAAATGTTTGGGATTTACTATTATGTATATTTTCAGACATTTCAAAGAAATTTAGGTAGTTTTCTTCCTCGAAATTGCACGATTTTCAGATTTCAAATTTGTTTATATATAGGTATGTAATTCTCTATAGTTCTTTAGATCTACGATCGATTGATTAAAGGCTGTGCCTGACGTTTTCCTGCATCGACTTCTTGCTGTTCTTCTATCCTCGCACCATCTCTACCTCTCTCTGTCTATTTAGTGGCGAGGTGTCATTCGAAGGTTCCGTCGCGAAGTTACAGAAATCCGGGGCATCGGGGCGTCCCATCGATCCGATCGACAGAGCGATGTACATAATTTCAACATATTTATTGATGTAATTCAAAAAATTAAATATAAGTTATGTTTATAATTATTACTGCTTACTATGCAAAATTACTTTGCAGTTTTGCGTTCGGCTTTTTCATTGTTTTTTTTTGTTTGTTTTTTATTGTATTATTATTATTTGATGTTTTTTCTTGTTTTTTTTTTTTGTTTTGTTTTGTTTTTACTCATCTTTTGCTGTATTTATTACTGCTTTCCCCCCTCGTCGTCCCAGTTGGCTTTGCTGTGCTTCCTGGCGGCAACTTTATGTTTTTTACGTTTTTTAAATCTTTTATCGTTCGATTTCCCTTCTTTTTGTGTTGTTTTGTTTTCTGTTTTATTCTCTGCTTATTTATTGATGCGATTTCAATTAGTTATTGAGTCTGATTCGCAGCCATAATCAAGCAGTGGCGTGGAAATTGATTGAAATCAATTCAAATATTGTTATATATCGTATCGTATCGTTTCCATATACATGCGGGGATACATCGCTATCGTTATCGCATGATATAAATGGGATGGTATATATGGGATTGGATGCGATTTCAATCTTTGTTGAATCAACAAGCAGCAATGGTGCGAGAGAATTCGATATCGAATCAATCAATTTTCAATTACAATTCAAAATGGGTCTACCTGCATACATATATATATATATATATAGTATGAGCACATATCTGGTCTACATATATGCCTATGTACATATATATGTATATACACGAAATTGCTTACGATTTTTGTTCCGCTTCTACATTAAATCTGGTAAATTTGTTATACTAAGTGTGTTTGTTGTTGTTGTGTAGTGGGTGTGGTTGTGGGTGTGTGAGCTTGTGTTGCATGCTTATGCGTGAGTGTGTATGCATTATGATCTGTGCAATCTGTGGATCCTGGTCTGCTGTTGGTTCACTTCTTGGAACCATCGTCATCTCGTCTTTATCTGTATTTTTTCTGGGACTGTTGTACTGTGTGTGGGTATGTGAATGTGTGTGTGTGTGTATGTGTCTGTGTCTGGCTTGTTCCTTATTCTTTTAGTATTGAATTTAAATTAATTAATTACGAAACATCCTATGTCCCGAATGTGTATTACTTCGTTTCTCCATTTTTGCTTTTTACTCGTTTCTGTTTCGGATTCTGCTTTTCTTCCTATGATTCCTCTTTCTTATTTCGCTTCGCAGTGTATTTCTCTATCGTTATCCATTCCGCTCCTTGGCCAACTCAACTCCACTCCGCTCTCCATTCCGCGTTCATTTCATATTCATTTCTCTTATAGTGTGTGTGTTTTGTATGTTTCCCCCCCTTTCATTTTTTATTCAACAACCTCCCGCGATATCCGTCATCGCCCTAGTCCGCGATCAGCGGCTTGCCGTTCTGCTTCTCCTTGTCCTTGTCCAATTGCTCCAAGAGTATTGCAGGATTCGCCTGACCCTGGTGGGTCTTCTGCTTCAGCATTGTCCAGTCGTAAATGTAGTCATACTGATGGTTAAGCGTCCTAAACAGTATGCTGTGTAGAGCACAGAAGATATAGGAACGAATACAACATGATAAAGGTATCTATTTATGTAGATCTATAGAGAGAATGATTATGGATATCCACATACCGGAACAATTGACGTAGGTACATGTAGTCTGGCTGTTCCTCGAAACGCAAGCTGCGGCAATAGTTCAAGTACATGGAGAACTCGGCCGGCGAACCCTTGCACAGCACCTCGATGGGCGTTGACATCTTCTTCTCTGAGATTTTCTCGTACTTCTGCTGCTTGTTGTTGGCCTTCATGCCCTGCCAGGGCAGGACGCCGCGATTGAAGTACATCATCACATAGCCGAGGGACTCCATGTCGTCGCGGCGAGACTGCTCGATGCCCAGATGGGCATTGATCGAAGCATATCGGGCGGTTCCCGTCAAATTCTTGTCCTCCCTGTACAAGATGTGGTGGCGCGTGTGGGGGTCGCGGTACTTCTTGGCCAGACCAAAGTCGATCAAGAATAGCTTGTTGCAATGCCGGCCGATGCCCATGAGGAAGTTGTCCGGCTTGATGTCGCGATGGATAAAGCACTTGAGATGGATATATTCAAGGCGACCGATCATCTGGTCGACCAGCATCAGCACCGTCTTGATGGTGAAGTGGCGCGTACAGAAATTGAACAGATCCTCCAGCGAGGGCCCCAGCAGGTCCATCACCAGCGTATTGAAGTTCTTCTCCTTGCCGTGGTGGCGGATGCGTGGGAAGCCAACGCCGCCGCTCAGAATGCGGTACAGCTTGGCCTCGTACAACAGCTGGGGATGGCGGGCATGGGCACTCTCCATCTTGATGGCCACCTCCTCGCCGCTCTGGATGCTCATGCCCAGATAGATGTCACCGAAAGAGCCGCTGCCTGGAGAGCAGAATGAGTATTTGGATTGCATTAGTCGGGGATCTGCATTCGGGCGGTGGATCTGGATCTGGATCTGCATCTGTGGCAGGGCAGGCACTCACCTATCTTGCGTATGACCCGATATTTGCCACCGACAATTATTTCGGGGCGACTTTCCTTCAGTATACGCATCTTGTCCATGATGGAGGCGTTCCCCTTGCAGGCCTCGTCGACTTAACAATATAGTATGTTCGTTCGTGAGCACGATTTCTATAATATCAGGAAGTACCAAGAAGAGTTAGGTCTGGTCTCACGTTAATCTTCAGTCTTCGGTCACTTTCTTTTTGCCCCCGTTTCTCTTTGGCGCTGGTTGTGCGGCCCCCTTGTCCCTTTGTCGCTTTGGGGTTTGCTTTTCCCCGCTGTCAACCGAAATGCGCATTTCATAACCAAGTTGGCATTAAATTTATAGAATTTCATCATCGATTTACGGACAGACAGAAGATCGCCAGAGAGTTGGAGGTCCGGGATCCTATGGCTATGCCTCCCCAATTCGAGGAGGCGCGTCTTTCGTTTATTGGCGGGTAATACGAGAGTGTATGCATGATTATTTGTATTATTTTTGTCATGGAAAGATTTCTAAATAAACAAGGCGTCGGTGGGCGCCACATAGAAACGGGACGGGACAGGCTTCTTCTTCCTCTTCTTTTTCCCTCATTTTACCCCGTTGGAATGCATATTACGCGCACACACACTCAACTACACGCACACACACTGGACAACACATACTCTCATCCAATCAACACTATGACGCACAACAACAGCAAAGACAACAAGCAGCAGCCGTAGCCGCAGTCAGGCCACTAACACATGCGGATGGCGCACTAATACAGCCACATACGCATACAGCTGCATGCACAGTTGCACCTTACAAATGTTTTACACAAAAGAAAATTTCGAGCCAGGCACTCGCACACATACTACCACTGCGCTACACACACACACACACACACACCACACAGTCGCACTTAGCACGCATTTCAACTGGATGAAAATGTATATTCCGCAAAGACACACGTAAAATATTCATCCAAAATCGTTGGCTGACATTTTTTGGCAGAAAATCTTACCACAGATGAGCAATTGAGCAAGCGAAACTATTGGAACTGCTGTGCTGGGTGTTTCTCAAGGTTGGCTCTTCACTCACAAAAAATTTTGTACGGTGGAAAAAAATTAAATGGGAAAATCGCGTTGGAAATTGGTCGTATCTCGCAGCAAGCTGGCTCTTCAACACCCGGACAACGTTAGAAAGATAGTTCTTTAGCAGTTTATGTACGCGCACAACCGAAATAAGGAGAGGAAATATTTATATTTTATTAACTAAAATAAAAATGGTAGACTCCAGCAAAAATGCTTTTGCTAGGGATGATATCAGTGTGACGGCAAGAAAATCAGTGTGACCGTATAAAAACATTCACATGCAGTGAAATACTGAAGTCCGAAATCGATAAAAGGTTTTTCTCAGCTGATTTTAGCTCGATACACAAATTCAAACATTCATAAAACGGGGTTTTTACGTTTGTTTTCTACTTTATTGGGGCGCTCGCTCTCGCCAACTGTAACAGTAGCTTGCGAAGCGAACAAATGAAGGCTGAGATGCAGGAGTGCAGCGACAACTCCGGGCGGGCTAGACGGAGCACCCCCAGTGGCTCGCGTCCACCAGCAGGTGACACGGAACAAGCGCATCTCCATCAAGGTCTTCAGTTTGGAAAACTAAGGCATCCCATGTTCGCCAGGTTCGTTGAGTCGCTCGGGAGAAGAACGCTCAGCCGCCGATGATCTGCTGACGCCTGCTAAATTGATAGGCGTCTGCTGCTCGTTATCAGGCTATGGGTCTTGTTTCGACTTTGGTGCACCGTAACCGACCGGAGTTGCTTCACCTGCGGAATTGCGCCTCTATTGGACGTCTGTTGGTAGGTTAGGTTAGGTTAACCCGGACGGCCCTCAGCGGGGCCACGCATAGGCCAATATGGCCCTTAGTTATCCGGATGGGGGGGTGTATGAACCGTCGCGGGAGTGTTAATGTGGTTTTAAAAGTCCCCGAGAATCGAGGTGTTTTTAGCATAGGCCAGCAGTTCCTGTGGCGTCCTTTTGGAGGCATCTTCCAGTGATGCCAACACTGGGGCGCCCAGGTATCTCCTCCTTGCCATTGAGAGAGCCGGACAGTTGCAGATGAGATGTTCCAGGGTTTCGATAGCCCCAGGTTCCTCACATTTCCTACAACTGTCTCTGTTGGTGATGCCTAGCTTTGCTGCATGTGCAGCAGCCAGACAGTGACCTGTTAGTATTCCCACTAGCAATCTACAGTCCTTTCGTGGTAGGTGCAGTAGGTAGTGGCTTAGTTTCTCGTTGCGCTCCTTGCACATTATCTTCGAGGTTCTGCAGGTGGTGGTACTCCTCCACCTGCTATCAGTCTGTGCTCTAGCCTGCTTCTCTAGATCGCCTTGCAGCGTTCTGAGGGAGACAGGCACGTTCTCGGTTCTCCTATTCTCCAGCCCGACGCCTTCCTTAGCTAGTACGTCCGCCGCTTCGTTTCCTTCGATGCCCTGGTGGCTGGGAACCCAATAGATCCGCACTGTCTTTGTCGTGCTTAGGATGTCTAATGCCTCCCTGCTCGCCAAGACACTTCTGGAACTGACCGCGGACGACTGCATGGATCTTATCGCCGCTTGGCTGTCGACGAATAGGTTGACCGCATCGTGTGCTCGTTCTGTGAGGAGAGCGACCTCCGCTGCTTTCCCGATGGCAAAAACTTCTGCCTGGAATATGCTGCATTGGTCCGGTAGCTTATACAACAGCCTTATCTCAGGGTCTGTACAGTATAGGCCCGCTCCTACTCCTCCGTCCATCTTGAATCCGTCTGTGTATATATTAAGGTGCTCAGTTTGGTCCCTTCCAATTTTCCAGTCTTCAGGTCCCAAAGATGTGGTTGTTTTGACGTCAAGGCAAGTCTGGGGGGTCATGTAATCAGTTGATCTGGTCATTTCCCTGCCGATTGAACTATGCCCGTATCCTTGTGGCGATAGATTTCCTGATGCTATGAGGCGTTGTGCTGCCTTTCCCGCAATCAGGCGAGCGTGAATGTCCAGGGGGTCGATTCCGAGTACAGTTTCGAGTGCTTTTGTTGGGGTTGACCTCAGCGCCCCTGTAATACAGAGCAGAGCCTGTCGCTGAGTCTTTTCCATAAGCTTATGGTATGTCTCCTTTTCAGTAGCCTGCCACCACACTAAGATTCCAATGCATTAGAGCAGGTGACAGGCCCCATGTGCTGCTGAGCATCTTCTTGGATGTCGTCTGTTGGTAAATAAATAAATAATTTTTGATGCAATATCTAAGACCTTAATGAAAAGTCTACTATGTGTTCCCGGATCCGCCTGGTCTTGGTTGCAGCTTGGACATTTAGACTTTATATTTTCTTTTTCTTCCAAGACGTTTTTTGCTTGGTTGTGGGCCACAATTTGATCCCAACATGTACCACAAATGTTTACGGAAGACATTTCAGTTAAATTGCCTTCAATATCCACCCCTTCAAGGAAGCCCTGCTTTGAAAAGCGGTCAGCTAAGGAAACAGTGCATGTCAGAGAACCCTGTATATTTATTTCCCCTTTTTCAAAAAGATCCATTGCGCTCATTGTTTTTTTGGGCGATCCTGAAGACAAAAATAATTGAGCTAACATATTATTTTGAATGATTAACTTAACTGTCTGATTTCCATTACCACCATTTTGAAAGAGTAAAGCAAACTTGCGACTTTTTCATATTCGCATTAATAAGACATTGAACTAATTTACAAAAGTGCCCATTTGCTCGGATTTTATTTCCAAAATTCAAATTATAAGCTTCTACTGAGCCGTGGTTCTAGTTGACCGCTCCAACACGGATATAAAAATTATGGTTAACCATTAATAAGTAAAATACAACTCAATTATTAAACAATAAAAAAAATACACCTTTTTAAGCCACTGTCTATTAAAATATTTTAAAAATGGAGAAAAGAGCTTCTCCTTTAAGTTTATTGCTTCGCATTTTAGAAGGTTAGGTCCTTGGACAATTTTGCTTTTTGGTAAAAGTAAGATTTCGTATTGTTTTTTAGCGTATTCTCAACACAAATCGATTGCTTATCATTTTTCTTGTATGCTTGAGTAAAATGAAAGCAACAGGCGTAAAAACTCATGCTAGGATGCAGGCCTTTTAACGCCTCACACGATTTGCCTATTGCACCGAAAAAAATGATCTATAACATTATATTCTATACACATGTTCAATAACAATAAATTATCTACATATTTACATATTAAATAATACGTTTATATTATTTTAAATACAGCACGGAATACTTTAACAATTTTTGCTTAATGAAATTAACTTCCTAATAAAAACGCTATTCATAAATCAAGCAGTAGCTATGTATATATGCTCAATTAAGAAAATGTTTTTTTTTATACCCGATCCTCAAAATGAGTATTGGGGTATATTAGATTTGTGGTAAAAGTGGATGTGTGTAACGTCCAGAAGGAATCGTTTCCGACCCCATAAAGTATATATATGTATTCTTGATCAGCATCAATAGCCGAGTCGATTGAGCCATGTCTGTCTGTCCGTCCGTCCGTCTGTCCGTCCGTCCGTCTGTCCGTCCCCTTCAGCGCCTAGTGCTCAAAGACTATAGAGCTAGAGCAACGATGTTTTGGATCCAGACTTCTGTGACCCCGCCCACTTCCGCCCCCACAAAGGGCGAAAATCTGTGGCATCCACAATAAAAACGCAGAATCGTAGAAGATGACTATATCTTCTAGAGTGCAACATATGAACCAAATCGTATAATTATTATAACCAGAATCAAGAAGACAATTTCACTCTTTCTCGCTCTGTCTCTCTCTAACACACAGGTTTCATGGTCGGTTTTGCCAATTGCAAAATATGAGTTCAAGGATCTCAGAACCCATAAGAGCTAGAGCAACCAAATTTGGTAACCACACTCCTGTGATATCGGAACTTGACCGTTTTGTGTCAAAGTTTCGCCACACCCCCATCCGCCCCCGCAAAGGACGAAAATCTGGGGCATCCACAGATCTCAGAGACTATCAACGCTAGAGTAACCAAATTTAGTATGCGCACTCCTGTTAGATCTCACTATAAAATGTATATCTCAGAATTTCTCCACACCCCCTTCCGCCCCCACAAAGGACGAAAATCTGTTGCATCCACAATATTGCACATTGAAGAAAACTAAAAACGCAGAATTATAGATAATGACCATATCTATCAGATTGCTAAATCTGGATCAGATTGGATTATTTTTGTAGCCAAAAGCAAGAAATCAATTTGCAGTGGCTACGCAGCGGCCGGAGGAGAGCCATACTGATTTAGTATCGGGTATAACTGTAGAGTTGCGGTGTCCGCAGCAACTCACAACGTTCCCCCTCGTTCTATTTTTGTTTGTGTATCGGCATAATTTGCTCAAAATCGCCGGAGATATGACGCTTTCAAACGACAGAAGTCCTCCAGAAAAAAGCGACATTCTTATAATTTGATAGTGCGCTTTTAAAAGCGTCGTAGCGCCCGTGGGCGTCATAATACTGGGCGTTATGACATGCAAATAACCAGCGAGAAGATGTTGGACAATTTGGTGCGGAGGTGCTGATTTCGACAGGCTGATCATTGCTTCGAAATTTTTGGAATAAAAAGGGCTCTTCACCATGGAGAAGTTGCAGTATTGCCGCACCGAGCGGCGTGGTAAAATCTATGTTGCGAACAACCCCCGCACCAAGCACCAAATCAGCCAAATACCATCCGCAACCGGCAACCCGGATGCCAAGAAAATATCAACCAAGTTCAACTACAACCAGTGTACGCTGAGTAACTAATAAAACTTAAATATATGAAAATTTGATGCTGCCACGAAAGTCAGAAAAAATAAATGAAGGCAGGGCTAGCGGCTGAGCTGTATTTATAGTATTTCGCTGCGGTCGTACACCAGTACAGATTTCGAGAGTCGCCATTAGCTAGATTCAGTACTGCCGATTAGGCTTTTTTCCCGTCAGAGCTGCTTTTTTTGATGTTGCCACCGCTTACATAAAAAGTAAGAAAATGTTATTAT